GTCTTCCCCACTTTCTCTCTGCCAATCTCTATCAGTGATAGTTGAGGAGGCGGAGGAGGAGGAGGAGGAGGAGGAGGAGGAGGAGTTGGGCGAACGAAGATGTGTGTGTGTGTGTGTGATGTCCGCCCGGTCTCTCTGCCTCTCTCTGTCTCGCCTAGCGCGCCAAGGCGTTCGCAGGCTGCCCCACCCCGACGTCACTGATTGGTGAGATAATCCTCGTGCTCACACCAAAAGGACAATCATTGGATAATAGTGAGTCTGTAGCAGCAGAAGCGCCTTCCCAGAGTTTAAGGCCAAACTTGATAACACAGAGTAGCTCCTTAACGAGAGCACTGTTACATCTAAAAGACTTGCCTTATCCAAAATTGCATTCTAGGCAATATTTCAGCTGTGTCCCGTGTAACGACTATCTTGGCCTTCGAATTCCTCAAAGAAGTCCGAAGTCGGTGACGAAAATGAGGGGGGATATAATCTCTTCGAGCGAGCCCTTTGGCGGCATCCACTAGTTAGAATTACCCTTGAGGGATTTTGTACTGGGGCAGAAGTTTGGTGTAGCAATTGGCAAGACTAGGAACGGCTTTCTTTATCCCATGGGTCCTGTGCTAATCTGCAGGAAGGTTAGGGTTAGGGTTGGGTTGGGTTGGGACTACAGCTAAGGTTACAGTTTGGTTTAGGGCACGGGCCTGTTTGTGTTTCTGGAATTTCGCGCAAGACTGCCTGTATTATGTAGGCGGGGGGGGGACTTTCGATTCTCATGTAGTTTGTCCAGTCGCAATCCAGATCCAGAGCTCCTTTTGCTGATTCATACAAATTTCCTCCTGCTCTTGTGAATGTAGTTTCGACGAATACAAAATATGCAGTCGGCGATTCGTACCGTCAACCTGCCTGCACTTGTTAGGGCGAACTGGTCTGACAGGAAGATATAACTTTATCGTGGATCATTCTTTAATTTCTCTAGCTAATCTTTTAGTCCGGCGTGAGAAAAATGTGCTCATTCATTCGGTAGAATAAGTTCTTTGGGAGACGATAGTTTATTGGTTCAACTGTCGACACTGGCTCACCAGGTCGTCTTCAGACGGATGGAAATTATACGAAACAGTTAATTTAAAATGATGGCTAACACAAGACTATATAGCGGATCAGGGTATTAGTCAATAATAGTCATCCGCATGTAGTTATGCGGTCAGTGGGGGAAATAGTTGTCCCCCGCATGTAGTTATGCGGTCAGTGGGGGAAATAGTTGTCCCCCACATGTAATTATGCGGTCGGTCGGGAACGAGTTATCGACCGCATTTAATCGTGCGGTCGGTGATGGCTGGTTTTTGCTTCATTTAGTCCGGATAGGCTGTCGTATTTTCCATGTTTCCCTGAGGTTGGTGTACATCGCGTCCAGTTCGACGTGCCTGTTGATGCACGACTCATCGGAGTTTATGGTTTCTAAAAACTCACGGCCTTTCTTGTATGGACAAGAGCCAACAATACGGGTTTCGTCCCATGCCAATTGGTGTCCAGTTTTCAATGTGTGCATGGCGACTTCAGACAAATGATATCGCCCCTTTACCGTTTGTTGATGTTCGCGTTAACGTGTGGAGGATGATCTTCCTGTCTATCCGCAATAAACTGTGCTGCCGCCGCCACAAGGGATCTTGTAGATGGCTTCTTTTCTGTCCAAGTAGTCAACTCCATCCTTAGGGTGTACGAGTTGATTTCGTAGAGTATTCGTTGGTTTGTGCGCCACATGGATTTGATTCTTCCTCAGGTGTCTTTCGACGATTCCAGACACGTTCTTAATACATGGAATTATTCGCCAACTTCTTGGACTGGGTGCCTGATCGGGACAATCTAGTTCCTTTTTTCGTTTTAACTGCTGCCGTCTCATGCATCGACACACGAGCTCACTGGGGTAACAGCTTCTTGAAAACAGTTTGGACAGGCAATTGCATTCAGTTTGGTAAACTTCAGGGGCAGAACAATGCGTTCTTGGTCGATTGATTAGGGTGGTAACAGTACTCGTTTTGTGAGCAACAGGGTGGTTGCCCTCGTAATGTGCGATAACATCCAAGTGCGCTTTTTTGCGGTAAAATGATATTTGGAATGTTCCGTCAGTAGTCTGCTGTACGTGGACATCCAGAAATGGGAGTTTATTGTCAACGTCTTTTTCGAGCGTGAACGTGATGCCTGACATCGTTGAGTTAATAGCGTTGTGCAGTGTTTCGAGGTGGTCCCTTTTACAGTCAGTTATGCAAGTAGACTATAGGCCTGGTGTCCACCGGTGTTTCTTTGATACGCTCCTGTGTTCAACAATAGAATGGAAAGAACGTTATCTGATGGAAAATCAACATAATCACGCAGTGGTCGGCCACCGGCGCTACCAGACTACCTTCGTAAGTATCTTCGGCGAAGACAGGAGATGAGGAGGACTACAGGGAGGAGCTACAGTTCTCCATCGAATAACGGTAATCAACGCTGATATCCAGACAGTGAAAGGGGAAAACCAATGTAGGCACCTCTTTTGTTCGCAATGCTATGCCCGAAAACTAGTTAGAAATGCCAAATAATAAAGATCTTGGTAAGTGTAGCTTGAAATTATCATCACAGGATCACATAACTCCAAAAACCTGTAATACGCAAACAATAGTAGTGTAGAAAATAAAATGATTCTTTATAATTACTGAAAATCATGTTAAATGGACCTATCTACATTGTGGATATGTAGATACTTAGATACAACAGAAAATTGTAGCAAAAACGTAGCAATAGCAAGTAAAAATGATTCTTTAGAATTATTTGAAATCAAGTTAAATGGACATATCTATATAGTAGATATGTAAATACTTGGATAAAACAGAAACATAGAAGCAATAACGTAGCTTTTCGTCAGTCGTAATGTTTAAACGTGTTTTTGAATGGATATACTGTCTCTACATCCGAAAGGAGAAGCTTTTATTTGAACACCGGTCCCGTAAAACATGGCTTTGGGGAGATAAGCTTACTGTGGCAGTACCTAGAACCTACTCTTACCAAGCTCTATATTACAGTGATGATTTTCACTTCTTCACGGCACAGATCCTCAAATGCTACAAAAGTCACCTGTTGACGGGTTTTTGTTAAAGCAGGCATTACACGGAGTAAAACTCGCTACAACTGTCGTAGACGCAACGTCTGCCCTCAGGCTTTCATGAACCAACGCCAACGTACTCACCACGGAGGACTGAATCTAGGAGTTTACCGAAATTATAAAAACCTCTGGTGTACAGGACTCAATTCTGGCCAGGTTGTCCGGTGCTCATTCTTATAATAAACCCAGCTTTGTGTCAGTATATAACATTCACGATAAAACAACTTATCTTCGTAAGCTTTACTATAGGAGCCATATTATACTACAGAATAGCTTTCGGGATTGCGCATGTAAAATTAAGCCTTCTTTTCTGCCTGGAATGTAGGAAGCTTTTCATGCGCAACCGGATAGTCATTCCAGAGTTCCTGTTTTTCTCGGTGATCACTAACCCTTATTAATTACCAGTTGCCGTG